TCACGACCTCATCATGTTTCAGGCCATGGGAAAGATATCGCCTGGTGACATTAAGCCCCACGTTCTCTCCTCAGACCCCAGTGACTGACACTGCCTGCTTGCATTTTTGTTTGTGTCTGAGCTGGCTTCAGGGTTAGGGGCTCTTGAGATATGCATTTGATGCATGGAGGACAAATCTCTGCGAAGACCCATGTTTCCTAAGGCAGCTCCTAAAGGATATGCTTTGGCAGTCCTACCTCCTCATATCCACCAACATCTTTTCACCCTTAAGGCTCGTGGATGGCTAGCAATGTTTCTGGGCTGGAATGAAGACTTTGGCCAAAGCTTACCCCACAGCTCAGAGCAGCAACTTCAGGGAAGAATAGCTTTGAATGAGGCCTCCACACCCCAGAGCCATCTGGCCTGGAGCAGAGCTCTACAAGTTTTCCTTTGTGGTTTAAGATTTGCAACATAGCATCTGGCGTATCCAGAAGTCTGATTGTGTGATGTCAACTGCAGCCTAAAGTTCATCCTGGTGACCAGAGCAAAATGGAAGTCCTGAAATCTTTATCCATGAGGTTTAACTTTAGAGATCAGAGCAGAGGGACCCAGTCCTCAGATCCCCAACCTCCACACCCCGTCTCAGAGAATTAACCCAAAAACAAGTGACCAGAGTGCAGGTTGTCAGGACAGGGACCAAAGTTCCGCCAAACTCATGGATCAATGTAAATTCAGGTCAAGAGCCTGAGACCAGTCCAGAGAGCAGATCCTGAAACACTGAAACCGAAACTGGTGTCCAGAACCTGGAGCCCAGACACAGAAACCTGAGAGGAGAGAGAGTGAACCGTAGGACACAGAGCAGAGAGGCCGGAGTCACTGTCTGCAAGATGCTCGGCCCTGAAAGGTCCAGGAGATCCAGATCTGGATTCAGTCTTTGGAATGCTAAGAACTCTGCTACTTGTGGCATTTACAATCCTTTTCCTTCACAGGGAATGTTCTTCCTGGATTTCTGTACTTCAGGTCTCATTCTCTTCCCAGAGAGGCCACGTCTTGTGCACAATCGTTGGGCGTTTGCTATATTACTCTCTCTCACCTGTTTCTTAAAAGTCATAGATAGAAGTATGCTAATATAAATATGTGTTTGCTTGCTTTCCCCATGAGATTGTAAGCTTACAATCAACTTATGCTCGTTTTCTCCCTAGGCCCTGTTTCAGGGCCTCACACACAGCGCCTCGCACACAGTAGCTGCCTGGAAGTAACAAGCGGAAAGAGCGAAAGGTGGGGATGCGAGTGGTGGCGCTGCCTCCGAGCTGACTGCAGTTCTCAGCGTGGCCAGAAGATGGCAGGGCTGACCCATTTTTTCCCCGGGAAATTATCAACCACTTCTTTCCCTGGAGCACTCTGCTGTTGTTCCGTGGGCCTTGCGCAGTGTGTGTGCCTCACACCACTGCATACACACACCGTGGCTACCAGTTTCAGCTCGACGGCCCGGCCCTGCTCTGGAGGGCTCTTTCAACTTTGCCTGTGGCTGCAGAGACGCTCTGGCAGGGCAAACCGGTGAACTTGGCTATCAAGTGAATTCAATTACATCTTTTTCCAGTACTGTGTGAAGCATAGTACCTTTTCTTATAGTTACTTTCAGTTATACTCTACTAAGTCTTTACACTAAGTCCCCCTACTTAGAAGACAATGTGGCACCTGTCTCCTAAATGACTCCAGAGTCTGAACCTCTTCATGTTTGCAGTCACATGACCTCGGGTGGAAACGGCCTAGACTCACACACAGAAATCCTAAACACAAGCGTGTGTGCACAAATGTATGCTCTCACCCACATAGACACACAGAAGGTGACTATTTCTGTCAACATACAGTGTGGGGTTTCAAACAGCTACATTAGAGACGCAGAAGTCCACTACTTCAGTAGCTGAGCTTGTGAATGATTATAAAGGAGCGAGCAGGGCACCTGCAAAGGTACCTGAGGACCTCGGGAGCTCATTTGAGGCTGTCACAATCTTTCCTTCCAAAAAGATCACCCTCGACTTCAGCGGAATCAAAGCTTGGCTGTTAAGTAAAGCTAGTTAAGCACAAGAATTAAAAGTGAGATAAATTTGGGAACTAGAGTGTTTCTGCCCAATTCCTTAAGTTTCTTTATTAAAATAATTATTAATATATATTAACTGCAATACTGAGGACTTTCACTGATGTTTCCACACATGCATTATATTGAGCTTTAATCATTTCTACCCTCCTTGCCAACTTCTATGTTCTTTTCTGACTCCCTTCAGTCCCCTTCTCCTTCCCTGAGGACCCTATTCTATTTTCAGGCCTCTCCCTCCATCTTGTTTGTTTCCATGTGTGAGAGAAAACACACAATACTCAATTTTCTGTGTCTGGTTTATCTCGCTTAACATCATGGCCTCCAGTTCCATTCTTTGTTCTGCAAATTACACCATTTCATTCTTTGTGGCTGAATAATATATCATTGCTTCCATATCTTATTTTCCTTATTTATCTGTGGATGCACTCCATATATTTCTAACCCACCCTAGAAGCCTTTGTTTTAAAAATGTACAAAGAAGGGGATTAGGTGATCTCATTAGTTGAAATCCAAGCATGAGATGGGCCATGACTTCTCAGTGAACCTTGACATTAAAGTCCATGCCAGTAGTTCTCTCTCTCAGGCATAGTAAGCTGCCATCCATTTCTTCCCTCCCTCTTTGCCTATTTCTGTGTCAATGAGTTGCTTTGGGGACATAGAAAGCAAGAGCGCAATCTGTGCAATGCAATTTTGAGTTGGAAAACTTTGTCCTTTTGTCATTAATGCTCTATAACTCCCATTTCAAGTCTCAATTTCTCTGTCCAAGGTTACCAAGCCCAAAAGTGTCCTTTATGCCACTGTCCCAGTTTCCCAGTATTTGCTTAGCTACATTTACCCTGGTGGTCACACTTCATATTGTATCTATTATACCAATGCTTGTATTGTTCATTTTAATATTTCTACTTCATGGTTTTCATGTCACCTCTTGCTATGTCATGTGACCCATATCTTCACTTAGGTCTTTATGACTATTGGTTGTATTTGTTCTATATTACTGCTCAGTGCTTTCCAGGTAGTGTGTGTTTCTGGTCCTGATCTTTCTCCTGAGGTGAATGTAACATCCTAAGCCCTCTCCTAATCTTGGCAGTGTGCCTGTTCTTTTTGGACATGTCTCCCTCTGCCTGGTTGCCCTTACCAGGTCCTGCCAGGGCCCTACGGGTGAGCCAAAGCAAGGGCAGAAAATGAACCTAGGCAGAAAGTGGCTCAAGAGTGAAGATGACCATGTGGTACTACCCACTGGGAAACTCTATTTCTGAAGAGTGAAGACGCATTGGTGGAAGGAGTACACCAGCCTGGGAGTGGAAGGGCCAGGGTGGAACCAGAGCAGTGAATGTTTGGGAGAGCTCCTACAGCCACACCTGTTCTCACCGCTGTGATGATCCGGCAGGTCTTGCTGTCCTATGTTCTAAGTTTACCTTTACTGCAGCTACGCCTTGTGCAGGGCCATGTACCAGGCAGGTGCAGATGTCCCTAGGTAGACAGCTGTGACCCCTTCTACCTGCCAGCCCATGAATGTAGGGACCCGTGAACTCTCTGATATATCCTACAAACACTGTGGGTGTATGTATTTGGGTTTCTTGAAAATAAAGCCCAAATGTCTTCAGATTTTTCACAGAGCTCCCAGTGAGCAAGGCAAAACTGGTTTGAGTAGAAACACAGTACACTAAAGGAGGAAAAGTATGAAAGGAAAACTATGAGACTCACAAAGGACGCTGCTGACAAAGAGAAAGCTGTCTTACACAGCAGATCATGGTGTATTCCCCTGACCATCCTACAGCACGGCAGCATGAAACAAAATCATTCCCTTATAACACAGAAAGCCACTTTTAAATCAAATAAAACTACTCTGTGAACCGCAAAGGGTTCACAAAATTCCCCTCTCCTGCTTATCAGGAACATCTGCCACTCGCTTACAAAGTACAGCTCTGTTTCGTTCTGTTTTGCTGATCTCCTGCGCAAAACCAAGATGCACCACCATGGGATTTCCCTTCTTCTTGACAGCAGCTTACACAGTATAGATGTTTTTTTCTTTAGTCTTCCCCCAAACCACCTAACACAAAACCAAATTGCATAAGTTCCTCTTTTGACAAACTGTTACAAAGACTGCCTATGGAAAAAGAAAACTAAAACCTAAAAATAATCAATTTTGTTTGACTATAACCATGTTCCTGATGGTCTTTGCTTAGAGGGTGACTCATTGCCCACTCACTGTGTTTATTTTACCAGAGCAACCCCAGGAAGAATCGAACATGGCTCAAATCTTATTTCAAAAACATAAAAACAGATTGAGCCAAGATATAAAAACTCAGTCACGAATTAAATCCCAGTCTTTTGATTCCAAATCTCAAGCTGCCTCTCCAAAATGGAGCCATCCAAGAACTCTGTTTCCAAGCTGAGCAGACTATGTACAGTCACCCTGAAAAGGAGGAAGGTCCTTGTAAGCAGGCATGGTGGTGAACTGTGCAGTGGTCTCTGAAGGGACATGTGCTGAGGGCACACCACTCCACATCCAAGGCAAAGGTTTCTCTTCCCAGAAGAGAAACTAAGGTTCTAAAGGCAGAATTTGGCCACTGTCACTCAACTAAGGAAGCAGCAGAACTGAAATTCCACCCAGGCTACAGAAAGATGGTAAAGGAGCAGACAGGCTTGCTACACATCAGAGAGGCTGTTGTACCTACGGCCTCTTAGGTGGAGGTAGATTTCTGGTGTGGATGCCAGAGTGGGGTTAGTACTGGGACACCCTTAAAATCCAGAGTAAATACATACAGTAGCCTTGTCTGAGGGGTGGGGAAAAGTGGGTGATCAGGAGCTGATGCAGCTAGAGAAGGTCCTGTCATGGCAGAAGCTTCCTGGAGACTTGGAGAGCAGGAAGGTGCTCATGGTTGGGCAGCACTCAAATCTGAGTCAACTGTCAAATTGACTTCCCTCCCAGACATCCACCCTCTATTCAGTTCCAGGACAGGTCAGGATCTGCAGGGCAGTTTCCTGACCTCTAGTTTAAGTACATAGTAAAAGAAAACACAGCGATTAAAGCCAGCACCTTCAGCATGACCTTACATCAGCTATCTTACCTTACCTACTGCAGCAGGATCAGGAGCAGGGGGGAGATCTGATTACAAAAGAGAATTGAAGAGAACTAAGAAAGATACCTGCTGCCTTTCCTAGACACTGGATCTGATGATCACCATCATTGTTTTAGCCCCCCTGGACATTTTTGCAGACAGAGGTAGGTGTGCAGCAAGTGGGGAAACCAGATCCCTTCCAAGCCAAGGAGAGTCCAATCAGAAAGGACCTGAAAGGGAATAACATTCACATTCCTTCTAGTGTTCAGAGGCCTCCACCACATCCTGTCCTACACCCCCAGTCTCTATGTGAAGTTCTCGCAAAAGACTGCTCCAACACCCAGACTAACATGGCTTTTTCATGGCAGCTTCTATAGTTTGGATGTGTAATGTTTTAAAAAGTCTATGTGTTAAAGGTTTGGTCCCCAGCCTTTGGAACTACTGGGAGGCGGCAGAAGTTTAAGAGGTGGGGGCCTAGTAGGATGCTTCAGGTCCTAGAAAGCCCTGACTTGAAGGGGATAGTAGGACCCAGGTCTTGTCCTCTGTCTGTCATTTTTATTCCTGGCCAAGAGACAGAGAGCTTCCTCAGCCGTAGGCTCCTGCCACGGTGTGCTGCCTTCTCCCAGGCACAAACGCTTCAGGGCAACTGAACTCAGACTGAAATCTCCTAAACTGTGAGCCAAAATAAACCATTCCTCTTTATAAGTGACAGTGTCAGGGTTTTTGTTATTGCTGCTTTATTTTGTTTTCTTTACAGTAATGAAAAACCAATGGACACAGAAAGTACACCTGTATTAGTAATGTAGCTCAGAAAAGAATGACTTTTGCTTCCTAAGTGTACTGCTCCATTCCCTCTCCGCTGTCCTGGTTGGCCATTGTAATATGGTTCAAGCTATTTACCCACAGAGCTTTATTATTTTCTCCCCCACTTGCTGTTCTTTTGCCTTTTTTCTACCTTACTCAAATAACACTCAGATATTCATATCAGAACCCTGTATGCCCAACAAAATTTTGTCTCATTCACTTCATATCTAACCGTATCCCAAGCTTAATCAATTTCCCTTCCTAGTCCTAATTTATTTGAGATAGGGTCTCACTATTTAGTTTGGGCTGGCCTTGAACTCACTATGTATCCCAGGTTGGCCTTGAACTCAGAGCAATCCTCCTGCCTCAGCCTCTTGGGGGCCGTCCTAGTTGTTTCTTGATCCATTTGCCATTTCTCTAATTCAGCCACCATCACCTGCCCCTAAGATGATCTGTCATTCCTTGTAGGCCTGCTTTTCTGAAGTCCTGTTGCCTTCTAATCTTTCTCCACACTATATTCAGATCAAGCCTTCCTGGCTGTAATGAGGCATGGAAGGTAATGTGAAAGAAAATAATGCAGACTACAAAGCCGGAGATTGTCTGGGTGAGATCCGGACAGGTCTCTGAGACAGGAATATTGAATAGAAGAGCGGAGGTGGCCCGCAGTGCGCTGGAGGACAGGGGTATACAGGGAGGGCACATCAAGCTTAGAGTCTGAGGTAGGATCGCCTTCAGGTGTCAGTGGTAGCAAGTGGTTTTCTAGGCCTTTGTAGCTGAGTGTGTGTGCATGTATGAGCATGTCTGTGTGTGCAGCTGTTGTGCACGAGCAGATGTGTGCGTTCATACATAACCATTTGAAAACAAGGATCCTGACTATGTACTTGAACTTACATCAAGTTGTGTGGATCAGCAGTGAGAACTGGAAAAACAGATGGCAACTGAAGGAAGCACTGTGCTGCTTTAAAGCACACAATTACCCAACTCCGTGCTGCATGACCCCAGATAAGGCCCCTGGAAGGGTTTCATACAGCCCTACAAAGAGTTGTTCATTAGCCAGGAGTCATGGTACACACCTGTGATCCCAGCATTCCAGGAGGCTGAGTCAGGAGGATTGCAAATTCTAGTCTAGCTTGGGAAATTAGACTGTATCAAAATAAAAAATGAAAAAGAGAGCTGGGGATGTAACTCACTGTGAAGGCCCTGGTTGAACCTCTAATACCACAACCAAAGACTTGCTTGATACCTTGATAGTTGTTTATTAACCTGGGATGAAGGCTGGCACTAGATGCCCACTGCACACAGTTGATTGCCAAATTCTGACTCCTCCTTCACTTTGTGACATTGGCCAGAGTCCCGGGCTGGAGGCTCAGCTTCCTTGTCACAGAGCCGCTGCTGTATAGAAGCCCCATAAGTAAGTAATTTAAGTCATTTCTGGTAAATGTCTGAGGTTTTGGATTGAGATTCTCGAAGCTTACAGAAATCATGTAGAAACTGTCTTTTCTCTGCTTATGCTGGGGTGTACCTTAATTACATAAATGCGAAGATCACTGACTTTGTTTTTAAACAGAGGCATGTAGCATTAGACCCATGAGTGTGCCTGGTGAAGTTCCCTAGGAAGTGTTGGAAGACAGCTTTGAAGTGCAGGTAAAATGCTAAGGTTGAGAAATGGGGGAGGGATGGGAGGAAGGTCATCTAACTGCCAATAACTTTCATCCACAAAGTACAGGGAATACCAGCCAGGATGTACAGAGGGATCTAACACTCCGTTGGGCCAATACATTGAAATTTCTGGAGAAAATGCTCTCTGTCCACCCTGCTGAACATTGGGAGGAAAGCATCACAAACTACACTCAAATTCATTCTGGCCTCAGCTAGTGACTAACTAGTACATGACTTGATCTGAGATTAAGACGCAACTGACTCTCTAGATAACCAGCTCATCAGTGCCTGTATTGAGTAAATAAGTTAACTGGCCTTAGATAGATATAAAAATGGGATTTAAGGTTGCAATTGCACCCAAAGGGAAGAAGGAGAGAGATGGGGAGCTCTTGCAAACACCTGCGTCTCAATCCATTCCTACATTCCAGGCCAGCAGGCACAAGTGAGCTGGAACTACGGAGTCCTTTTGCCCTGTCACAGGGAGCATATTCACAATCTTCCAGTCACCACACCAGAGGCCTGGGCACTGGTGACCACCTCACAAATGTGACTCATACATTTATCAAGCCTGTTTTTGTTAAAATGCTGATCGCATAATGACACGAGGATTATTTACTTTTCCAAGTAATTTGTCTAGAGGCTATAAATGGTTCAACCATTTCTACATTGTCTATGACCATTATAGGAGAGAGGGCATTTCGGAAAACTCTGTGTTGGTTAACTGAACCAGATAGCATGATCTGTCTTGGTTTTTCCCACACCAAGGTGAGGACCATGTCTCTGTTTTCATCACTTCTTCTTCTTCTCCTGAGTATGTCGACATCTCATTCAGAAACTGTACCCAATGAGGATATCTGAACCACCTTCCCTGTGATTGCCTGTGGTTCTCCAGGATTGAATGGTTTCCCAGGCAAAGATGGACATGATGGTGCTAAGGGAGAAAAGGGAGAACCAGGTACCTGTTGGGCCATTCTTTCTCCATGACTCTTTATTTCCCAGAAGAAACTTCCTAGAGATATGAGGAAAAGAATATCTTATTTAGATAGATTGTATTTTTTCTCCATATACTATAAATCAAAGCAGAGATACAGCTCCAATTCTCTGGCATTCCAGTTTTCAACATGGCGTTTTGTGACACATGTTTGTCCTGCCTGTTCAGGAAAATGGCCCTCAGAGCAGCCTCTTCTATGGAACACAGGATTATTTCTTCTCTGGGTCATTAGATGCAGTGACTCAAATAGGTTGGCCTTCAAGTCAATATTTCCTTCTTTGAGAAGGGATTAGACATCAATCTCTTGGAAAGAAGAGAGCAAGAGTACAGCTACTAGGTCAGTCTTGTTTTCTTTGTCTTCCAATAGGTGAAGGACTCAGAGGCTTGCAGGGACCTCCTGGGAAAGTGGGGCCTCCAGCGACTCCTGGGACAAAAGGAGCAGTGGGGCCAAAGGGAGACCCTGGAGTATGTCCAGGTAAGGAAAACACCCAGAAAGGTCAGAACTGAAGGAATTAAAGGTTATGAAATCCAGAGGACTGGGTAGAAAGTGCCCCTTTCCCTTACAACGCTTCAGGAGGAAATGCCCAACTCTGCTTCTGGGCCCAGGGCCCTTGGCCCTCTCTGGTTACTAACAGCCTCAGAAAATCCTATCAATGCCTAAATAAGAATTTTTCAAGGCTTCCAGGGCCACCCTTTTATCAAGCAACACCTAGAGGATCTGAGCCCAGGTCCTCCTTCTGTGAAAACAGTCCAATGTGAGGCTTTGATTCAGGAGAGAGAAAATAGAACATCTAAGCATGTGCTTATTATGTGAGTTTTCCTTATTCACAGTACGTCAGTTGTCTTTTACTTTTTAAGAAACCAACTGAAAACATAGTGAGTTAAAAACACAATCAATTTGACACGACTCTTTGGATTAGACTCAGAAATTCTGGATTCATCTGGGCTTATGCCTGTGCCTGTGATCAATTGATGGCCCATGGTCTCCTTCACATAGCCATGTTTTTTGGGGGGTGTCATCTGGAATGATGAGGGTCACTGAGCCATGTGTCTCTCATCATCCAACAAGCTTCCAAGGGCTTGATCACAGTGGGTGCTTACAGGAGCCCCAAGAGTAGAAAAGCAGAACTTCCAGGCCTCCTGAGTATTAGAACACACACATTATCATTTTTTTTCTCCATGGTATTACTCTCAAAAAGTCACAAGCCCAGCTCAAATTCATCAAGTGTGGAAATGGACTTCATATCTGGATAAAAGAGGCTGCATCAGTGAAAGCTATGTTTACCACCTCCTTCACCCAGCTTGCCTCATGCCCTACCACCTGGACAGTGGAGGACTCGCAAAAATCATGGATCCTTCATTTATTTCAGAACAAATTTGAGAAAAACAAATGACAGAGGAAATAAAACCTCTTGAAAGACAAAAATCTTCCATTCATCCCATTCCATTCATTCTTATTTTGTGGGGAAACATGATAGTTCACAAACAGATGAAGACTAACGTTTTAGGATGGGTGAAATAGAGATTTTTTTCTACTTTTTCTTCTTAATAGTTTTCTTTTATCTTCAAAGGGTAAATGTCAATGTAAACTAAACTATTTCTATTTGAGAATAAAAATTCCAGTCCCTTAGGGTGCTGTTCTGGAACTGCATCTTACAAAATGATTTCTCACTCTGCTTTAATTTTCCAGTGTGTGGTGCTGGCAAGGCCGGTAGAGAGGAATCTCTGCAATCCGAACTGGAACAGATCAAAAAGTGTAAGCTTTCTCTCTTATTCTTCAGACAATTTAAAGTTCAGGGATGCTGAAGGCCAAGGAATACTGACTAAATACATGTGGTTTTCTAGTATCTCAATAGGTAATTCTCCTATTCTGATTTCACGAAATCCTCAGGAGGAAAAGAAACTTTTGTTAGAAATGGAATCAGGGGGAAGTTATTATTTGCACAAACACACAGAGCTAATACGTGGTGGTAGAACAAGTTTCTAAATTGAAGTCAGTCTGACCCCAGAAACCCTGATCCTGAATTTTTGCTTGCTGACAATGGGTCTCTGTCCTTTTCTTATGCTGGTGTGTAGACCTAGAAATGGAACTGAATTTGTTCCTTCTGGATGAGAAAGATATTTTTAGACATCTGTTTAGGTTCAGTAAAAGTGCAGTAGAATTTAAGAATTCTAAATTATACATGTTCAACAATTCTCATCCAAAAGGATGTAGGCTGCATGTCATTCTAAGCCTTCATTGAAAGGTTGCCATATTTAACAGATTAAAGACAATGCAAGGGTTATAGGTTTTGAATTTCAGATAAACAAACAAACTTGGGGGGGCATAAGTATTGTCCCAAATTAGGAGTTTGTTTGAATGAAAAGATTCACTGTTATGTGAATTTCAAATTTGACTACACATCCTGTATTTTATCTGGCAACACCACTGGGGAAACCATTACCCAGAGATGCCTCTCAGGCTATGCTTAAAGACAGCCAGTATCACCTACTTTTTCTCATTGTAGGGATGTTCTTCTTTCTTGGCAAAAAAGTTGGGCAGAAGTTCTTCCTGAGCAGTAATGCAAAAATGAGTTTTGACAGAGTGAAGGCTCTTTGTGCTCAATTCCAGGCCTCAGTGGCCACTCCCAAGAATGCTGAAGAGAACAGGGCCATCAGAAATGCTGCTCACGAAGGCGCCTTCTTGGGCATCACGGATGAGAAGAATGAAGGGCAGTTTGTGGATATGGCAGGAAGTGCACTGACCTACACCAACTGGAATCTTGGCGAGCCTAACAATGCCAATGCCGAGGAAGACTGTGTGATCCTCCTGTCAGATGGCAAGTGGAACGACGTCTCCTGCTCCACATCGTTTGAGGCTGTCTGTGAGTTCTCTGTCTGAAGGAACACACCCTTCAGCACCTCTTGTCCCAGAGGCCCACGCTGTGCTTTAAAAGATAAAACACACGGGCGGGGGATTTAGCTCAGCGGTTTCGTGGCCTGCTTTGCAAGAGCAAGGACCCGAGTTCAATCCCCAGTACCAAAAAATAAAAAACAAAACAAAAAAACAAAAAGAGAAAACACAGCAATGTCCCCATACCCACTACTCTGTTGCTCCATGAAGAATTAGAGAAAGTGAGAAGAATGAAAGATGGGTGCAGAAATGAGAAGCCAGAAGTCTGACGAGAGTGCAGTGAGGGCTCTGGTTCAGTTGAAAACAATAACAATGCCTGTTAATAGCAAGGAATTAATAAATAGTGAAAAGAAAGTAGGAACACTAAGTACATTTCTTGTGTTTACTGTGATCCAGACCCTACATTTTATCTTGCAGTGATTATCTGAATTAAGTTATAACTGTTTTATTTCAATCATGTTTACTTGTTTAAGCATAAAAATAAAATGTGTATATTTTCCACTCACTAAAACACTTATACTCCCATTGCAGCATTCCGTTCTCCCGGGGTAGAGGGTTTCCAGGACATTGTCGTCACCCTAACCCAATTCCGCAGCTACTCAGTCAGTCTTGGGGATTTAGAGGATCCTTTGTGTAACCTTCTGTCTGAATTGCATTTCCTTTTAATGAGAAATTAAATTATGTAAAGAACATAAATCTCAAGTGAGCATAAATTGCAATATTAATGAAATCTCACACATGTGTGCTCTTTTGTATCCACATTCTAGGTTAAGATACAGGACACTTCTAACACCCTAAAGGCTCCATTTATGATTCCTCATAATTAATATTCCCAAAGGCAAATATTCCGACCTCCATCATCATACATTAATTCTCTTTATGAATTCCATGCAGATGGATTCATATCTTCTTTCTTTTCACTTAAAATGAATTCCATGAGGTTCATTCATGTTGTTACACATAGTAGTTAATCCATTTTTCCATGTAAAATTTTACTGTCTTAATACCCTTTAGTTCACCCATTTTATTATCAATGGACACGAGGGGATTATAGGTTTTGGCCATTAACAAAAAATACTCAAGAACTTCTTTTGCAGGAGACTTTTGGTAGACATGGTGCACTAATTTCTCATGGCTATCTATCTAGGAGCAGAGTTGTTGGGTAAAAGGGAAAGCATTTATTTAGCTTTAGAAGACAGTGTCAATTTTCCAAAGTGATCACATACTTCAAACTGCAGTGTTTGTCAGCTCTGTTGTGCTGATAAACATAAGTTTTTAATTTTAAGAAAGTCTCATTTACTTATATTTTCTTTCATGATTAGTATTTTTATGTTCTTCTTTATGAAATCATTGACTGTTCTCAAATCTTGAGGATATTCTCCTACTTTTTTTCCTAAATACTATTAAATCTTTTATCTAGCCCTACAACATATCTGCTTAAGACAACACTATTTGTTGGAAACATTATTCTTCTTCCATTGAGTAAGAGTGGTACATGTATATAAATCAGGTGAATTTATACATATGAGTCTGTTTCTAGGCTCTCCACTGAATCTGTGGGTATAGATATCTAAGCTTGGGCCAAAGACTACACTGTCTTAAATATTGTGCACTATATGTAGCAGGAACCAACATGGAAGTGTAAGCCTTCCAGATTTGCTTTCTCTAAGCTACACGATCTTGAAATAAATCGTAGACTTCATTTTTCAAATTTCTTTCAAGTGAAATCTGATGAGATTTCTGTTAGGATGGCATTAACACGGTCAATTAACTTAGGCAAAATTGACAACTTACATTGAGTCTCCAATCCGTAAGCATAGTGTATCTTTTTTTTTTTTTTTTTTAAACTAGGATTTAAAATTTGTTTTTTCTTTCTGATTTTGATGTTTTTAGTTTAGGGAGCTCTTCAATGATTTGGTGGTATTAGTGTTTTTAAAATATATATTCTTAATGACTTTTTATTTTCTACTGTTGTATAGAGAAATACAATTTGTGTACATGATCTTACATTGAGAAACAATAACTGACACCAAAAATGTAAAGCAGATTATTTGGGATCACTGTTCTTAGAAGTTTTATTCGATGATCAGCGGGTGCCACACCAAGGCAGAAATGGCATGATGGGAGGGTCCGCGCTGCTGCATGTGCCATGTCAGTTGGGAAGCAGAGAGAGAAGGGAAGAACAGGGAGGGAGATACATCCGTCAGGCCATACCTACTGTGAACTGCTTCTTGTGAACAGGCTCTACTTTTAACAGCACATTCAACTATGGATTCATCAGTGATTAATCAAATGGCAAGTGTAGTGAGTTACCTCATGATGCAGTCACCTGCCCAGTGCATAACCTGAGCACTTGAGGGTTGGAAAGGGAAGATCTCAGTGGAAAATCTAGCAGGGGATGTGCTCCTTCTGTCAAATCAGCAGCTGGGTAGATCTACTCAACAGGCAAGGGCGTGACACAGAATGCCACCAAAGACATCATTATTTGAGATTAAAAAATGGCATAGTGAAGAGGAGTGACACTGGGATAGACTCATCCATCTAGAAGAAGAGTTTGAAGGCCACAGTGATCCAAGTGATGGGGCGTAAAGATTACAAACTGATCCATGCTCTCGATCCCTGAGTGTTTGTCATTACAAAAGCACCTTCTTCAGATGTGAACGAGCAGTAAACAATGGAAACATTGGAAAACAATGGACCTCAATTTACAGGCTTCCTTCTCAACTCAATGAAGACCATAGCCAGTATTTAATTAAAGAAAAATTCATTAAAATCACGAAGGAAATTTTATCTTTTTCTTGTAATACTGTTAGAAATATTAACAAAGGAAAGCATATTTCTATTATATATGTACTGTATTATATTAGACAATATATATCAGATATTGCATATGATATATTAGATATTGTATATATTAGTTATATAATAATTAATATATATGTAATACATGATAATATATCTAGTAACTGAAGTTGAAAATACTAGAGCTCATGCATCCTATGCAAGAGCACTACCACTGAGCTCCATAGCCACACTTTTCCCTGTATTTGTGAACAGATTTATGCTTTGTACACCAATGATCTTTATTTGTGCTAAGTAAGCCTATGGTGTCCTTTGCTGGTAGATTTGCTTACCAATATTATGAGGATATTTGATTTCTGTTTCATTGCTTCTGTTCACCACATAATTATTGGTTGGATCTTTCTTGAAGATTTTAAAAAATGTACATGGGTAGCTCTGGGAATTGGCTCTGGGATGGTAGTGGAGCTCAGGGGCAGGGTGCTTGCCTAGCATGCATGAGGCCCTTGCTTCAAACTGCAGCACTGGAAAAATAATAAATAAATAAGAAAATGAAAAGTATAGAGAACCTCCGTTGCAGGCAGTTGATATTCTTTGTATTTCTTTGTCTTAATGATGTTTTTGATAAACTCTCAAAGACTTGCTATTGCTAGACACGTTATCACAGAGGTGGCATGCCCACAGTATCCTAGAGTAGAAGACAGGGTTATGCTGGCCTGTCTCTAGTTAGACTGCCTTGTGCTTTTGGCTCCAGCAGTTCAGTGAAATGTGCAACATTTCTCACTTAGGAGAGGAAAGAGAGAGCTTAGTCTTGCTGCAAATATCACATCCTCACACTCTTATGAAATTTACATTTTCCCTTCCTCCCTCACTCCCCCCTTCTTGCTTCCCTCTTTCCTTTCCTCCAGCCTTCCCTCCCTCCCTTCTTTCCCTCTTTCTTCCTTCTTTCCAAGCTCTAGAAGTAAGGGAGGAAGAAAGCTGCTCACAGTATGCCTATGGCTGAGGCATGTTGGAATCCAGAAGCAAGGCATCTCTGTGGAAGACCCTGCCCCTCATCCATAGGCCTTTTTAGGGCCTAGCTCCTAAGAGCACACTCATCTAGGGAATTCCACTGATGATCTCAACCCCTGCCTTTGGGTTTGAGTGACTATGGGATGAACAAAGATGATTTAGCTGACAGCCCTTTTACAAGTTGAACTGATATACCACCTGTCAGTAAAGAAAGCAAAAGTAAACCAGGCCCAGGCCTTGGTCTCCAGGCATTTGTGCCCCACCTTGGGTCAGGGCCACAGGGCCCCCTGAGGCCTATTTAGCCCAGGTGCAAAAAGTAATTGAGTCCATTGCAGGGTGATCCTTCAGCAGGTTCCAAGGAAGCTCCACCCTGTCACCTGCTTTCCCCAGCTCTCCACATGCTTCTGCCATTACTGTCAGCTTTATCCTCCATCAGTCTCCCACTAGCTCTGGGAGCTGATTTCCTAATGGTCCCCAGGGCCACTGTCACCACTGGTGTCCCTGCTGTCTTTCTATAAAAGCTCTGTCAGTGTCTGGAGCTCTGGCCACCCAGTCCTTGGTTAATCAGAACCCACTGCCATAGTGGGCCTGCAGTCCCCACCTCAGGACCTCACCCATTTATCTCCCTTTTGGTTTTGTTTCCCCCTTACCGAAGATTGAACAGAACAACTTCTCACAAGCTACTGCTTCAGCTGTTTTGTGCATGACGATTGGGTCTCTCTGTGTTGCCCCAGTTTAGGCAAACCTTACCCTTCTCTGACCCCACCCCCTAGAGTGCTGGGTACCAAGTATCTGGCACCATGCCTGCCCTGTGCCTCATCCTTCATGTGTTTCTGTAATCTGGATTCCTACTTACTTGAAAACAATAACAACTTGTGGTTTCAAACACTTGTTTTTACACAAGGGTCCAGAAGAGGAATAGGTAATGTTTTTAGGTAAATGAGTGCCTATGATGGTTCTCTTGCATTTCAAAATTTCTTGAATCCATAGGTACCTGAGGTTTATGTTACTAGGCAACTAGTGTTCTTTTGATGTTCATGAAAATCATGACACAAATAAAGGGCCTTGAAATCGTGGCCCTTTGTGTTGGATCTACTGGCAAAAACCCTTTCTAGTGACTATTCAGCCTGAAAATTGCAAATCCCATTGCTAGCCTGGTCCATTTGGCAAAACCCTGTCTCAAAAAGCAAACAAGTGGAAGGGGGGAAGGGTGGAAAAGGAAAGGGATGAAA